GAGAGAGAGAGAGAGAGAGAGAGAGAGAGAGAGAGAGAGAGAGAGAGAGAGAGAGAGAGAGAGAGATGAAGCGTGAACTGAGGCGAGAAGGGCTTGAGGGGGGGCGGGAAGCTCATAAGCTGAGTATGATGACAAAGTTGACATAACGGACAAAGGGGCAGCTGCTGTTTTTTCGAAGTTGGCAGTTTGTGCTTTTCTGTAAGAACATATATTCATTTAGCTAGTGCATGAACACCGCGTTCCTGCCTCCTTCCCCTTCCAGATTGTCGCATGTCGCAAAAATTCAGCTTTAAAGGACAACTCTCGGACAGAGGTTCAGCTGTGTTGCTAGCTTCCTCTGTTTTTGCCTCATTTTTTTCCCTTCAATTTCCTCTGTCAATTACATTCAAGAGTTCAGCACGCCTAATACCGGATCGAGGCCCAGGGTTGAAAAAAAGGAAAAAGAACAAAGAAAAACGGAAAAAATGAAAAAGGAAAAAGGCAGTAAAGACCAGGTACCGGATCGAGTCCCAGGATCAGATCTGAGTGTGGTGCGACATGGATTGCACTAGGCAAGGATGTTTCTGGTCGTCATGTTGGCCACCTGGGCGGCTAACGTGGCATAGAACTAGCCACGTGTCTTACAGGGCTCTTCGCTTTGACTCAGCCCAAGGGTCTGCCAGGGGTCCGTATGTCTTGCTGCTGCTTGCGTTCGCCTTCTTTTTCTTCTTCTTCTTTTCCCGCATTTGTTCCGCGTGACAGCCATTGACGTGAAGTGACTACTTCACTGAGGAGGGGGGCCGAACTCTTGAATCTTTGATTACGAGTTCGTTTCTCCAGTCAAGATGGTCATTAGTTGGCGGTGTGGGATCTTTGGCGATTGCGGAGTAATCCGTCAATCAAATTGTTGTTCAGAGTTGGAAATAGAGTGTGCGTTTGTTGCCTTTTGATATTACTCCTTTGACCAGGTAAGTTAGGATCAAGGTGAAGCGACTTGGACAAACGAAAATTCAATTGGACAATCATCAAACCGAATTGGTCAGTTCGATTTTCCTATTTAGTACAATATCGGAACCGATTTGGACAGCCCATATAGGTTCGGAGAAGTGATGAGCATTTTGAAAATGTCAGATTTAGGTTGGGAGAAACGGTGAGCATTTTGGACATACTGGATATAGGTTGGGATAAATGATGACCATTTTGGACAAAATGATTTAACAGTTTGGACGCATGACAGAGTTAGGCAGATTGATTTCACAAATTAGTATTGCTGAAACCACATTTAGTTCAACCGTCAACCGATTTGAGATTCTGTGCACACTATCGGGACCAACAAAGATATCAATTTAGTGAAGCGATTTTGCATATTAGTCACATGCGTCTGAATCACGGGCCTGCTGCTCCTGTAAACTATAGATCAAGGTGGACGTGCGCAGCACACACGTGAGTGAGTGATGCACGATTTTCTGTGGGGCCCACCAATTTATGCGCTCGTCAGTCGTTGACGAAAGACACAGTGGGTCTGTCCAAGTTTCTAGAATACCTGTCCATATAGATTCACAAGGTGTCCAATTCTAATCTATGGTTCCAAGAAGCTTCTACAAAAATCTTAAACGTTTGGACTACACTCCCGGTTCCAATCTACCGGTCCAAGAAGCTTCTACGGATTCTAAATCGGTTCGCCGTTTCTCTAACCTAGGTGCACTCACCTAAAGTGATAAAGAAAAGAAACCAATACATTATTGTTTATGGCCGGGACCCGGCAGGGCCTGCCCATTTCGGTTCACCAGATGTCCAAATAGTGGCAGTATGCATCTAACTTAACTGGTCAAAGGAGTATTTTACTTTGCAGACTTTTTCTTTTTTTGGTAAACAAAATTTTGAAAACGGAATCTGAGAGACTTGTCCGAGTTGGTCTAGGGCTCTTTGTCTGTGTATTCTATGGCCACGATGGAGTAATTGACCAGAAAAGTGGTATTAGGACCGCTTGTCTGCCTTATCTGTAGTGACGAAGGCATGGGCGAGTGCATGCAACTATGCTTTGGCAGGGCCTATGGGAGTTACGGTACACTTTTCTGTTCTCAAATCGTATGGTTATAGCACAGTGCCTTTTTGTTCTTTTTTCCGTTGTGGGTCGACAGTAATAGCTTGTTTATGGTTAGCAGACAAAACTAGCCCGGTCAGTATGCACCTGAGCCTGTGTACATCCACGTGCAGATCATGCACTTGAGCATCTGCACTAGCCTGTTTTCATCACTATGGTCTAAAATTGAAAGACGAGGTCAGTATGTACCTGCAAGTCTGCACGGCCAAGTGCAGAGGATGCAGTTGGGCATCTGCACGAACCTGTTTACTGGTATGATTACGGTTGAAAAGACAAAGCTAGCCCGGGCAGTATGCACCTGGGCAGCTGGACGTCCACGTGCACATCATGCAGTTGAGCATCTGCACATCAAGGTGCCTCCTTACCAGGTGGGTCGAGGTCCCACTTGCACGGGTTAAACCCCGGTACTTCCTAAAGTCGTGCCCGTTAACAAGCCACAATTTTAGGAAACGTACGAGCCACTACAGGAGTGCCGAAATTCATCCGACTAGAAATGTTTCTACTCTATTTTTTCCCATGGCCGATAGCTGGGCCAACTACTGGTGGTTTAAGAGATACTGACCGTTGATCTTGATTATCTCCTTTCAGTACGTCGTAGTCCATGCAAGCTGGAGCTCTCCCTGGGCTTAGTTTCTCCGCCCTCCTAGACCTGAGCACACTTTTTTTTTTTTTTTTTTTTTTTTTTTGGAGAATCCGCTCCATCTATTGGTGGGGAGCATCACCTGCTGGAAACCGGGTCCAGTGTCCCTTAAATACCTCTTTATAAAACAGTCATCATTGAATTGACGCCATTGTGCTGGAAACCGGGTCCAGCGTCCCTTATCCAATCTACTCTTCCAAACTCTTCCAAACCTATCCTGCAGCAGGATCGGGTATTGGAGGGGGAAACACTGGGGGGCACCAGTGGGGTCTCCCTCCATCCCCTAGCCTCTGCCCTCCACCAACCATCCTCCGGGCGCCTATTGCATCCATATGCTGCACATTAGAGTTTCTTATGCTGAGCTGGAACTGGGTCCAGCGTCCCTTAATTATCGCAGTGACATACAGTATATTAGTGGAAGTAATGCCATTGTTGGAAACCGGGTCCAACGTCCCATATCAATTTTACTCATCCTATCTGCGGCCGTGCCAGGTAGTGGGGGGGGGGGAAGCTCCCTCCGTCCCCTAGCTCCCCCATTCCTGCTGAACATTAGACTGAGAATGTAGTGAAGAGGACAGAGATAAACAACGATAAACAAGGATAAGCAGAGATAACCAGAGATGAGCAGAAAACGGAGGTAAGCAGAGCAGCTGAGCAGAAAGGAGGCCTAAAATAGCCTGAAATGGACTGAAAATAGACTGAGCTGCGACAGGCTGTATCCTATGTAACACCCGCGGACGCGTCCGCGGGTCCAATCTCGGATGGCGGATACAGACGGGTCCGCATCCGCGGCCTACCTGGTCCGCGCCGCGGACCCGATTTTACCAGAATTTTCCTGAATTAAATAATAGGCTAAAATATATATATATATGGGGTTTGTAGGGAATTTTAAGCCCTACAACCCCATATTTTGTTTTTTGGAATCTGACTTTGTTTCGGATTTTTAAAAAATAAAAAACTATTTTTTTTTTTTTTTTAATTAAAAAAAAATGGAAAGAAAAGTTGGATTTTTTTTTTCGTCATTTTTTATCATCAGATATATGGTCCCTGAGGTCACCTGTATTTTTTGGAAATGAATTTCTGTTTTTTGCAGGGGTAGCAGGTGTTTTAGAAAAATAAATATACAAAATTTAAAAATAAATAAACAAAAAACTTGAAAAAAAAAGGTTTGATTGATTGATTGATTGTTTGATTGATTGTGAGTGTGTGTGTGTGTGTGTGTGTGTGTGTGTGTGTGAGAGAGAGAGAGAGAGAGAGAGATCTGTCTGTGTGTGCATCAAAGGTGGGGCGGGGCGACCCCGCCCCCACCAATCAATCAATCAATCAGTCAATCAATCAATCAGTCAATCAATCAATCAATCAATCAATCAATCAATCAATCAATCAATCAAA